CTCTCACACACACACGGTCTCACACACACACACACTCACTCTCACACACACTCACTCACTCACTCACTCACTCACACACTCACACACACACACACACACACAGAGCTCTGTCAGAGTTGATGAGCCGATCAGGAGCTCTTACTCCATCATTCACTTTCCAGCCACAGGATTAGGATTAGTTTCAGAAATCACAGGGACCAAATGCGATGCTCTCTTACTCGTTTAACATGCATCAGCAGTCATTATTGTTGGTTTGTGTGTGTTTGCGCAGAATAAAGGTGACTCTCCATCTCAGGTCAGCCTGCAGACACAGAGCGTGTTTGATGAAGACCTGCAGAAGAAGATCCAGGAGAACGAGCGGCTTCACATCCAGGTGTGTGAGAGTGAGTGTGTGTGTGAGAGTGTGTGTGTGTGTGTGTGTGTGTGTGTGTGTGTGACGCAGATTGATTCTGTACATCCGGCTGTGTTTGAACGGTTTTTGAATTCTGATGAGCTTCATCACACAGTGAATGCATGGACTCTCATGACATGTTATGATATACTCAGTAATGTCATCTCAAACAGCATTAAAATAACAGTTCAGATATCATTGTACAAAATCCATATCACACAGACATGCACACACAGAAACATTCTCAAACACAGAAACTCATTGTCAACGCTGTCCCACGACTTTTATCAATTAAACAGCTTGGTTACAGAAAAACTACATGATATTTCTTAGCAGTGAGGTGGGAATGTCACTGTTTTTAAAGTAATTCACTTCACACGCACACAATCTCTCGCTCTTGCGTTATCTCTCTGTCTGATTTAGAACAGGCAGAATTGTGCATCTGATCTGACCCATATACAAACTAACTAATAAAAATGAAAACTTTTTTTTTTGCTTCATGTCAAATTCAATTTGATTCATTTAATTTTAGACCAGCAAGGTTAAAGGCAGAGTAAGCGATTTCTGGTAGCCAATGTTGATATTTGAAATCACCAAAACAAACACGCCCCTACCCCAAAAAGGTCTTGCCCTATTTTGATAGCTCCGCCCCACATATACTCGTTCCGCAGACGTTTTCCTCTTTTGTTTTTTTATCCGCCATCTCTATCTTTCTGTCGCTCGGCTCGGCTAATGTCCGTCCCATGCACTGAAAGCTCTCCTCCACATCACGAGTAGACACGCCCCTTATTGCTGATTGGCTACAAGTTTGTTTTGCTATTCGGGCCGAATCAGTTTTCTAAAGTGTTTTTGAAAAATCACATACCCTGCCTTTAAGGGGTCAATTTTATTGCCTTTTCTTAGGTCAGAATGTGCAGAATAGCTCCAGATTACACTGTGTCCTAACTACACGCGACACACGATAAAAGGTATCTTTTACATGTTAAAAGTTTTTGTCCTAACTAGCTGTGGCGCGACACGCAAAATTTTTAATTTAGAAATGGTTTCTATTTCCGCGACGCTGCGGCTGGAAGAACAACATACAAATTATATAACAGTAGATAATCTCAGGTGATCATGTGCTTTATTCAAAGTTAAACATGCCTAATGTGAGTTTGAATATAATTTTGCGTGACTTTATAGCCATACTGAAAGCAACAATAGATCTTAAAAAATAAATTAAAGCAAAGATGTACATTAAACTGTGAACTCAGTGCGGACCAACGAGTGTATTCCATGACAAAGATGTTATCAGTCACACAGTCAGTATGTACATTTAATAATGTTAAAAAGGTTTAATATTTATGAATTATATCATAAACTTATCCATTTTGTTGTGAGTGCAGTGCGCTTCCAGAGAGGCTCCGCCCCCACACACGCTTCTGATTGGCTGTGATGTTTGATTGATTCTGTCGCGTCGCGTCTGGTGTGGACACACAAACTGTTTGTCGCTGGAATCTTGTCGCGTGTAGTTAGGACACGGTGTTAGGCACCTGCACCCTGCTGGACAAAAGGGAGATAAATCACATAAGTTAAGCAGCGGGGAACCTCAGGGTTCGGTGCTTGGTCCTCTCTTTTTCTCCATATACACAATATAACTAAGAACAATCATGCAGATAGTCATGTAGTGTTAGCACGTGTAAAAACACGTAATCTGAATGGGGAGCTTCAGAGCTCACCGGTGAGAGCTCAGCTGTTGCTAATGTTGTGTTCTTCTCTCTGTAGTTTTATGAAGCGGATGAGCAGTACCGTCGTCAGGAGGCTCAGCTGAGAGCGCGGCTAGATCAGCTGGAGAAAGAGTCTGAGCAGCATCAGGCCGTCGTCAACGCTCTCAACCGCAAATACACAGACGCCATCGAGAAACTGCAGAACGACAAAGCCCTTCTGGAGGTCAGGGACACATTCACATGCTGGAAACCCATTGTGTTCATTAGTAGGGCTGCACAAATAATCACATGTGATAGTCATGCGCATCTCGTCAGTAAAGCCGGTTCTGTGATTAGTAGTAAATCTCCATCACAAGCTTTCAGATGGAGCAGCATTTACTACACAGAGCTGTAGTTCACTGACAAGCTACACAAAACCACGATCATAATCACAGATGATATTATAGTGTGATTATGAAATTGTTCTGCAATACTGACAGCTGTTTGCGTAGCTTGTCAGTGAACTACGACTCTGTGTAGTAAATGCTGCTCCATCTGAAAGCACCACATTTAATAACATGTTTTTACTCCAAACTCACTTCATAACGTCAGAGTGTTTGAAATAAATCCTTCTGTGAGATGATGAGGCTTCTTACACAGAATAAGACACGCAATATATTTCATAGTATTCTAAGCAGTGATAAAGGCTATGTTGATTAGCATTGCATTATTATAATAAGAACTCAGATAAATCATATAGTCGTGTGTTTATTAGTCACGCTGAATCAGTGAAAGCAGTTAAATCTTCTGTTTATTCAGCTAGCGCTATAGGGATTGCCTGGGTTTCTTCTGCGGGGTGTATTTGGAGTTTCTCTGGCCTTCAGATGGCGATTTACTACTGATCACAGAACCCTGCTTCACTGACGAGATACACATGACTATCACAGCTTCTGTCTAATCGTGATTGCGATTTATCGTGCAGCCCTAATCATTCGGGTCATGACAATACTTAAATCACTTTGCACACAGATGGATTTTTAGCTCACTGCTTTGGAGACTATCATTCTGATCTTGTGTGTGCATATGGGCCTCGAGACGTGTCTTCAAGGCATGCTTTTCTGAACTTGACCGCTGTTTTAACCCATCGCTGGTGCTCCTGATATATGATTGATGTTGATGTGTGTATGTCCATGAGGAGGTGTAAACGTGTCTTTTTAATGATGTCAGGTAAAGGCTCAGACGCTGGAAAGAGAAGCCAAGGACTGTCGAATCAGAACTGAAGAGTGGTGAGTATTTACATTCACTCATCACTGCAGTGTAAGGACTATCTCTGATCCTGTGATCCAGGACGCCTGTTTCAATCGCACAGTGTTTCTATTGTGTAGTGTGATGCATTTTATACTTATCCGGTCCCATTTGGACTATGGGAGTGTAATTTATGATTCTGCCAGGAAATCATATAAACAGATACTTGATACAGTGCATCATCAAGGACTACGGCTTGCTTTGGGAGCGTTCAGAACTCCACCAGTGCAGAGTGTGTACATTGAAGCCAATGAACCTTCACTTCAAAACAGTATTTTAACCAAAGTGGACCATCTACAGAATCAGTTCTATAGTATTATTGTTTGCTGGGTTCCAGGCCACGTTGGGCTTTCAGGAAATGAGCGAGCTGATGCAGCAAAGCTGGCTTTTAATCAGGAAGCAAACACATGTCAAATTCCTCCCTCAGAGATCAGACCTATTATTAATCATTATATATTAAATAAGTGGCAAGAAGAGTGGGATACATGAACAAATAATGAATTACATGAAATCCATCTGGAAATTTCAAACAGATTTTTAATCTCTTTCAAAACTATATTTGATAAAGTGTTATTTAGCAGATGTGGCATAGGTCATACAAGACTGACTCGTGCATTTTTGCTGAAAGGTGAAGACCCTACTCAAAGCATGTTCTGCAAGATTCCTCTTCTGTCAAACATATTTTATTGGACTGTCCAGCTTTTAATGTATGTAGAAAACTCTTTTATGAAGTGAACTCACTTAAAGAGTTATTTAGTATAATTTTGCCAGAAAAAGTTTTAGAATCTTTAATATATGTTGTGTGATGTAACTTGTGTTAGTTTGTTAAATATATACTACTACTGATCCATTTTATCCACCGAGGTGCATCCCATATCCAGATCATAATTAAAGCACACTGAACCAAAGCAGATCTAAGCACAGCTGTGCTGTAACCTGTTCATATGGGCGTCTAAATGAAGATCAGCAGTCACATCTTACTCGGATGTCTTCTGAAATATCTCCTCCATTAAATGTAGCTGTGACAGTGATGCTGAATAGCTGTGTGTGTGTACACACGCGCACACACACGCACACACACACACACACACACACACACACACTCTCACACTCTTTCACACGCACACACTCACGCGCACGCACGAGCACACACACACACACACACACGTGTTTGGTGTTTAGTCATGTGTGTCACTGTGAGTATTGTGTTTCCTGCAGAGCTGAGTGACTACAACAGTCTGAACGTTCCTCTGCACAACAGAAGGCATCAGGTGAGAGGGATGCTCCTGCTGTCACATTTACATGGACAACAATATTCAGATTTTAACACGATTAAGACAATACTCTGATTAAGAATCTGCCATGTAAACAGAGATCTGTGTGTGTGTGCGCAGCTGAAGGCTCGTGACGTGGCGGCTCAGGCTCTAGGGTTTGTGCAGAGTCTGGTCTCGGCTCTGCTGAACTTTCACTCCTACACGGAGCAGAGAGTCCACATCTATCCGCTGGACTCATCCATCGAGGCCATCTCGCCTGTCAACCTGAAGGTACGGCACTGACTGCATCTGCTCACTTCATGAGCCGCTAATGTAGTGATGCACCCAAATTCATTTTTACCAAAACAGAAACCAAAATAAAGGTTTCATTGAGCTGAAAACTGAAACTGAAAATGACTTCACGTGCTGCCATAGTGATCTGCCACGCTACATTACAGAGCCACAAAACCAGATTTATTGATTGAATTTTGTGACAAAATTCACATAATTTGAGATCGAAGAAAATGTTTTGTATTAAAATATAGTATAGTCATAAGTAGCACAGGTATATTTGTAGCAATAGCCAACAGTACATTGTATGGGTCAAAATTATCCATCTTTCTTTTATGCCAAAAATCATTAGGATATTAAGTAAAGATCATGTTCCATGAAGATATTTTGTAAATTTCCTACCGTAAATATATGAAAACTTAATTTTTGATTAGTAATATGCATTGCTAAGAACTTCATTTGAACAACTTTAAAGATGATTTTCTCAATATTTAGATTTGTTTTGCACCCTCAGATTCCAGATTTTCAAATATTGTCCTATCATAACAAACCATACACCAATGGAAAGATGATTTATTCAGCTCTCAATTAAAAAAAAAGTGACCCTTATGACTGGTTTTGTGTTCCAGGGTCACATATCTCCTTGTGATTATTGGATGGCCACAGCTACAGCTAATGTTTAATGAAGTTTAGTTCACTCATCAGCTGAATACAGTGCAGATCTAAATATCTCGTAGCATCCTGCTGTAGTGTGAAACAAACACTCGTACAGTCAAAACACGCCAGCAGAGAAACGCTAATCGCATGTCACCGCTTCAGTCAGTCAGTTCAGCTTTTCTAAACTGTTGCTGAAATATGTGGCTCTTTCTGTCAGAAAACTATTTCATTCAGTTTTCTCATTTAATGCTAATTATGGTGTTGATTGAATGAATTTATCTCAAGCATTCAGCACCTTAAACAGAGGTATTGTACAGAAAATGATCTAATGATAATTATATTTAATCACTGGACAAACGTGTTTGCTATGTGAATGTGAGCAGATGAAGAGTTCCTCTCTGGACAGTGATGTGCTCCATGACGGATCTCCATCACCACAACACGCTTTAATAATACAGTAGCGACTCTTCAATATCTCTTACATATCAGACAGATTTTTTAGCTCACAGTATATATGCCATTAAGTACTAGTACTCTTTCTTTAGGCCAGGGGTGGTCAGCGTCGGTCCTGGGGAGCCACAGTCCTGCAGAGTTTAGCTCCGACCCTGATCAAACCCACCTGCCTGTAGACCTCGATCAGCTGCTGTAGGTCTGTTTGATTAGTGTTTCCAGGACTGATGATGTCTACCCTGCTCTAGGTACTGCTAACATATTAAAGACAATAGCACTTAATCATTAGATACTAGTACTTATTTCAATAGTGACTAGTAGTTACTAATCTTTCATTCAGATATCAACTATTCAGTTCTGACTAGTATGTATTCCAACTGTGACTAGTATTTTTAAATATTACTAGTGCTTATTAATTAGACACTAGTATCTTTTGTAATTGTTACTAGTAACAAATCTTATTTTACTAGTCACCAGAGCTTTTTTACTCTAGTCAAAAAAGTTGTATTACTACTCAGAATGGCCACTGTGGAGTTCAATTAAATAAAAATCTTACTAGTAAAATAAAAAGCTAGCTTGTAACATTTGAAATAAGTATTAGTATATAATAAATAAAAACTGGTATCTAATGAATAAATGCTAGTATCTGTTTAATAGATATAAAAATCTAATAATAAATGCTAGTATCTAAAAATAAGTATTAGTACCAAATGAATAACTGCTAGTATATAAAAAAATATTTATTAGTCACAATTGTAATTAATACTAGTCAGAATAGTTGATATCTGAATGACCAATCCCCATTGAAGGGAATGGCTTCTTCTTCGTCCTAGCGTTTATTCTGCGCAGTGGCAGGGTCCGCTTGTCGGCACGCTCGTCTCCATTTGGCTTGATCCAAGACGTCTTCTGGGACAACGTTCACACGACGTGTGTCTTCAGTAATCCGGTCCATCTATCTTTTCTTTGGTCCTCCGGCCTTCTGTCTCGAGACGCAAGTTGGTCCACGCTACCGAATTTTCGCCACTGCGCATAACATGTCCGTACCATTTGATCCGTCCTTCCATCATCTTGGCCGTGATTGGTGCAACACGCAGCCGTCGTCGTACGTCTTCGTTCATGGCGCGGTCGAATCGCGTTAGCTGAAGGCTCCAACGAAGCATTCGCATTTCCATGACGTGGAGAGCTTGCTCGTGCTTTGCTGTCGCCAGCCAGCTTTCAAATCCATACAGGGCGACTGGGTGGACCACGGTCTTGTAGATTTTCGACTTGAGGCGCAAAGGCATCTGGTGGTCGCACATGACATCAGTTACCTGGCGCCGTTTCGTCCAGGCGGCGTGGAAGAGGCGGGAAGAGACACGCCATCATTGCAGATGATGGAGCCGAGGTACTTGAATTGTTGCACATTCTTCAGGTCTGCTCCGCCAACGTGGATGGTTCCGTCGGTTTGCAGGCCACATTCCATGTACTCCGTCAAGTGCTAGCCGTACTCGCCGAGCCGATTGTGCCACTGCTGGGCTTCTTCTTTGAGTTCCACACGTTGCTCATTGGCCAGGAAGACGTCATCGGCGAACAAGAGCGACCACGGGTGAGGTGACTGAAGGTTCGGCGGTGAAGGTGTCCATGCAGAGGATGAACAAAAGGGGTGATAAGGCTGATCCTTGGGGCACTCCGACATTAATGGCGAATTGTTCCGGCCGTGCACCAGGCCACGCTGTTGACGCCTCGATAAAGGAGTTGGATCCAATGGACGTAGGCCTCGGGGTTGTTATGCGATTGTAGGGCGTGCCATATGAGCTCGTGCGGGACGCGATCAAAAGCCTTATCCAGGTCGAGGAATGCCATGTGGACAGGCTTGTTTTTCTCTCGATGTTTCTCCAGGAGTAGGCGAGCCGCGTGGATGTCGTCCATCGTCCCGCAGCCCTTAACGAAGCTGCATTGGTTCGGCATGATGCTGGCGATCTTCCAAAGTCTGACGTCGATGACCCGTTCAAATACTTTCATGGTGTGGCACAGAAGACGGATTGGTCGGTAGTTTGAGCACTCCATCACATCGCCCTTGCCCATCCAAATGGCCACCGTTATGCTGGTCATCCACGCCGCTGGTGCGGCGCCATCGTCGATAATTCGGTTGAAGAGGGCGGCAAGGAATTTGGCTCCGTGGCGGTCGAGGATTTTCCACGCTTCAACAGGAATGTCGTCGGGTCCAGTGGCCTTTCCGTTCTTCATGGCTTCTTCGACTTCTTTGATTATCAGCAGAACGGGTCCAGAGATCGGATCGGCGGGTGGTCGAATTCTTCGTTGCTGATTTTAGCAAAGTAATCGCTCCAGCGTCGGAGGATAGTGGGTGTGTCTCGGATGATTTGGTGGTCTTCATCCTTGATATTTTTTATTTGGCCGATGTCCTGGGTGGCTCGGTGGTGAGTGTTGGCCAACCGATAGATCTTCTTTTCCCCTTCTGGCGTGTCCAACTCTGTGTAGAGCCGGTCATAATGGGCCGCTTTCGCTGCTGCCACGGTTCGTTTTGCAGTGGATTTGAGGGTTTTGTATCGTTGGAAATCACCTTCGGTGCGGGACTGAAACCACGGCTTGAGCGCCTGCTGCTTTACCTTGACTGCTGCTTGCACTTCCTCATTCCAAAACCAAAGTTGCTTATCGAGGAGGCGTTTTCCCGGCTTCGTCTTCCAGTGGCTGCCGCTTCGTGAACTTGTCTCACCGCTTCGTCCCAGATGGCCGATGCTGGCTGGTCCGTGTCCACATCCATGGGGTCGAGGTGGGCCGATAGCCGGGCTTTGCACTCGGGAATGCGCCACCATTTGATTTTTTCCGTATTGGTGACCCGATGGCGCTTCTCACTGGTAATGTCCAATGTAGCGAATCAGCTCAAAGGGGGAATATGCATAATTAATCATACAATACAAACAGACAATATACAAGACAGCAATAATATACACAATGACCTGGAGGATATGCGTGTTCATTCACAGAAAGGTTTTTCTATGAATTAATTGGAGAAGAGTCCATTTTTATGGGCATTGTGTGTCTTTCCTAAGGGTAAATGAATTGTGAGTTTCTCTGCCCGCATTCCTTTGGGCAATAAAACCAGTGATATCAGCCTTGGTTGCCATGGAACCAGAGGCCTGTTCTGCCTTTCTGAGGTGTTAAGATGCATTTCGGGGGAAGGGTCCATAGACCCTCATATGGCTTGTTAACTGAGGGGTGTTACAGAGTATTTGTTAAATATAACTAAAAAAATATATATATTGTGTGTCTGATTGGTCCAGACGCTACACCAATTTGAGATCCATGAGGAGCGGGTGATGTTGGGGGGCAACTGCTTATGACGGGATCACTTTGGTATTTGCCACGAGTTTCAAATCTCGTTGCCAGATAAGCATGTAGTCGATTTGCGATGCGTGGCCGCCACTGGCGTAGGTGATGAGGTGGCTCGGCCTCTTCCTGAAGAAGGTATTGACCACCGCCAAGTCGTGGGCTTCGGCGCACTCCAAAATGCGGTCGTCACCTTCATTTCGGTCGCCGTACCCATTTCCACTGTGCAACGTGTCGTATCCGCCTCTAGCTGATCCAACATGTCCATTTAGATCACCACCAAACGCGATGTATTCGTCGGGGCCCACGGTTTGGAGGTGGGTGTCTAAGCTCTCCCAGAAAGCGTCCTTCTCGTTATCAGGGCAGCCGGTCTGCGGGGCGTAGCTGGAGACAATTCGAAGAGTCATCTTGCCCGATTCGATCTTGATGGCCATGAGTTGATCAGAAATTCGGTGAACTTTGGTGACATTGTCCCGCTGTTTCTCGCTGACCGCGATCCCAACTCCATTTCGGTTATTACTGGTGCCGTTGTAATAAAGTTTGTATCCTTCGCCGATCTCCTTGGCCTTCGCTCCTTTCCATTTGGTTTCTTGAAAGCACCCGATGTCGATGCGGCGGTTCTTTAAAGCTTCGGCCAATTCTCGGCTTCTTCCGGTCATCGTTCCAACATTTAATGTCGCAATTCGTATTTGGACTCTCATCTTTCGCCCGCTTCGTCCATCGGCAGGGAACCCTCGCACATTTCTCATGTTGTTGGGGTGAGGATGACGCGCGTCGCCTACGGGGGACACCCTAGCGTTCAGATCCAAATTTTGACTAGGCGTAGCCATTGATTGATATGACCGAAATATACTCCAACCGATGCGTCGCTCCACCTGACGTTGGAGACCATCACGGTTTGTCAACTTCCCTCAGGTCATTGTCCAGCGGGCACCACGTGGAGATGGTGATCGGCTTTTGCCCGCCATTGAAGGGAATGGCAAAAATTGGAAATGTGTTACTAGCAGCAATAGAGTAGTTGCTAGTCACTATTAGAAAAAGTACTAGTGTAATTAATAAGAACTAGTATCTAATAATTAAGGTCTAGTATTTAATAATAAGTACTATTATAAAATGAATAAGTACTTTTTTTTTTTAAATGACTAGTAGATAAAGAATAAGTGCTAGTACTTAATGGAATAGATACTAGCAGCTAAAATAATAAGTACTGGTAGCATGAAAACAGATACTAGTATATTTTAAGGACTGAACTCAGGCTAAATCTGCAGCTGTTAGCCGTGCAGGACGTATTGATTATGCTTCATTGTTGAATTAAAGTGCTCATGTAATGTTGAATCTGCTGATTCATGTAAGCGGAGCACGTATCTGTGTGATGTGTCTGTGTGCAGTTCTCTCAGTATCTGCACGAGAACGCCTCGTACCTGCGTCCGCTGGAGGAGGATCTGCTGCAGTTGCATCATAGCATCACAGAGGACAGCATCACCGCTCTGGTGAGACACACACACACTCACGCACACTCTAATGTAGAGATGCAGATGTTTGAGCTTCAGGCCCTGTGTCGTGTGTGAGCTAATCTGAGGCCCTGTGTCTGCAGTTCTCTCAGTATCTGCACGAGAACGCCTCGTACCTGCGTCTGCTGGAGGAGGATCTGCTGCAGCTACATCACAGCATCACAGAGGACAGCATCACCGCTCTGGTGAGACGCACACACGATCACACGCATGACTGCATCACGTCTGACACGGCCGTCACCGCTTGTGCTTCACGTCTGCAGGAAACACTGGCCAAGCTGCAGGACTTCTCCAGATCCTTCTCCTCCTACAGCAGCTTCCTGCAGAAGATCCTGCCCTACCAGCTCCAGAGGTGCGACCGCTGACTGCTTCACCACCACAGAAGCACACCGAGAGCAGGCCGCTGCTCTGTCAGCTTCACACATATACAGGATATATATATAGATAATAGGGCTGGGAAAGCCGGAATTCACAACCTCAAACTGTAATTTTCCCACGTCAGTTATTTCGTTTTTTAAAATCCTTGGGTGCCAAGTCCGCCAAACAAAACAAGGCCGATTGCTATTCAAAACTAGCCCAATCGCGTTTTTTCCAAAGAGTTTTCCCCTTCGTTGGGTGTCCCCTCTGCCAAAATCACATTAAGGGCGATCGCTTTATTAATTAAAAAACAACGCTGAACTGGCAGCCCTGAGTTTCTCTTAAAAACTAGCTCCTGTGTGTGTAGTCTTGTGACTTCGTCCAGTAACAGAACACTGATTCATCTGAGCGACCGGAGCAGCGTTTTTACAGTAAAACTGAAATCTGACTTTTCAGAAGACATTTTCATTTCAAGAAATTTGTTTTGATTTTAATTGTTTGAAATATGCCATATATAGTTTGTTTCCTTCAATTATTATAAAATCACAAAGATAAGGAATGCACTCTTTCGTTAGAAAAAATATCCCACCTTTAATAGTTGAGCATATTTATAGTACTAACCTTGTCAGTGAACTATGAGGGCAAATAAATAAATAAAGGGTGTAATGTTGAGGTATAATGTTCAGTTAATCGAGATTTTGATTTTAGGTCATATTGTCCAGCCTTAATATATAATATGTTTAGAATATTTAGAAACTGACTGACGCAAAATATCTTGCTGCTTGTTTTTTTACATTAAAGGCACAATATGTAAGTTTTCGCGGCTAGAGGTCACATTTTCAAAACAATAACAAAGGCGAAGCTTAATGACGCTGTGAAGGAGGATGTTCACGGATGAGATAATGAATTCATTTTTTTATTATTTTTTTAATTGCCTCTACCTTCCACAGTTATTCAAACAGCGAAACAAATATACAGAGAAAGCAAGCAAAGAACATTATGACTGACTTAAGTCTAGCGCGAGTTTAAGCACTCTCAAAGCTCTCCCCTTATAAGCAGTGAAGCTGTCTATACACGGTTTGATGAATCAGTCTCTTACATCATACTGTAAGGAATTAGGGCAAGTTCAATGGGAATCGAATCCAAAGATTTGGAATCAACTTGATTAAAACTGATTCAGAGTTAATATTTTACACTTTATCAACTATTCGTCCAGCGTATAGTTAAAAGTTAGTATATCTTACCAATTCTGATGTTTATATTATTCCCTCGTCCAAAGGTCATAATACATGCTAGTGATCATTTCATTAACCGTGAGCTAGGTAAACAAGATCTGGGCATGAGACAGTAGCTAATGATCAGAAGACATGAGACGCCTTTCTTTGCAAGCAACAAGAATGTATTGATCTACTCTACTATACATGAAACTACACTACTAAAAGCACACACACACACACACACACACAGTTCAGGGAATGAGAATTATGGTTTGAATGGAGTCCCAAAAGTCTAGTATTTGCTACTAGTTCTTAAATTGAAACTTGAGAAAATCGCAAAAGCAGAGATTTGGCTTCCAGCTGCTTAAGAAGATTTAGCAACAGTTTTCAGCAAGGAGAAGATTTTGTCTTCCCGCTGATTCACCGGATGAATGTGTGTTTGTCTCATTCACCACGCTGGTGTCCTGAACGGCCTCCGGGGCGGCAAGCTGGCCGTTGATTCATTTTACAACCTTTTGATGGCCATGTGGGGAATCTCCAGATCCTGCGTTGGAATGTGTTTGTTCAATAGTTCATTTGGTGGTCTGTTCACAGAGGCCCTACTATATGTACATCTGCACTTGTTGTTTATGATGAGAGAATTCATGTGAGAGCTGAATTCAGTCACTGAACAGAAACTCATTGCATTCATAAGCTCAACAGACTCGTGTGTGATAGGTTATAATGTGCAACACTGTAAAAATGCATAAAAAAACATGGCACAACATTGAGCAGATCTGAATTTAATATTGCAGTCAACACTTTTCATTTCATTTTCATTTTATTCGCAACATCCGTAATGTATTTAATTTAACTGTACAGCAGCATTTGTGTGCGTGAGTTACCACAGTTTCTACAAGCGGAAACTGAGGATAGCGTGGATATTGCGTCATTGACCAGGGATGAGCCATTATTTAAAATGGGAATTTCTATGGATTTACAAATCCTTGGGAACTTTTGGGATAACATAACTACAAAACTGCATGAAATATACTGTGCAAGTGGTTTTGGGATATTTGTTTTATGAAAATCTTACATATTGTGCCTTTAATGAAACAAAAATGTGGAATTGCACTAAATGAGAAAAAAAAAGATTTCATTAACAGTGCTTGCATTTGAATGTATTTTCAGAGCTTGCAATTTCCAATTGAAATGTTCACAGCTGAAATATAAAATCATGTTGAATTTCCGCACTGAAAATTCAAGTCTTGACAATACAATGTGTTAAAATGCAAGCTCTGTTAATGCAGTGCAGTTTTTTGATTAGTGCAGGGCAACGTGCTTTCTTGTCTCCGAGACGTCAGTCATGAATTTGAGCTTGTGTGTGTGTGTGTGTGTTGTGCAGTCTAGAGGAGGACTGCGAGGCGTTTCTCTGCACGGCAGCGCTGGCGTCCAAGAACCGGCAGTTACAGAAGGACATGAAGAAGCTGACCGCCGTCTTCCAGAAGCTGAAGTCTTACGTGGCTCTGCTAGCCCTGCCCAGTGAGTGTGTGTGTGTGTGTGTGTGTGTGTGTGTGTGTGAGCGTGAGAGAGTGTGTGAGAGAGTGTGTGTGAGAGAGAGTGTGTGAGTGTGTGAGAGTGTGAGTGTGTGTGTGATTGTGTGTGAGTGAGTGTGAGTGTGAGTGTGTGTGTGAGTGTGTGT